TTTACATAATTCTGATCTAATTCGATCACTACTTGGCGGGCGTAAGGTTGGTATTGCGCGATCTAATGTGAGCTAGGCTTGGTTAACAGGTCTTGTTATAAAATACATTCTGATTTCGGTTGTCACGCGCTATGATTTGCGCGGGGAATTTCTTGTGTATTATACATATTTTGTATATATGTTTTTATTGATTCAAATTGCAATATTTCTCTAGTATATATTTGAGACTATATTGTAATTTATCGTAGGTATAGTAATTAATTATTCTAAAAACGCAATAATGTTTTCGGTGGTATTAGAAACAGCAGGCTGGCCTGTGATTTTTCTGAAATATCGTCACAATACTGATTACTTACGTCATACGTGTCAGTGTTTCATATATGAATGTGTTTGAATATGTTTTTGGTCAACAATAAATACAATTATTATAAATCGGTAAACTACCAAAGTAGTCACAATATTAAACTTGCAGACATTTGCTAAATATGGTTTTGCCGGGTTACATTAAACAACCTTTACGCATTTTGCCAACAGTTTCGGACAGACACACTTTACTAGTTTGTTATATTTTGTAGAGCTCATGTTCACTGTGATGGTGCGTTCAGAAACAAATATAATTCAGTTACATGAAATCCTTTTTTCTGTTCCGTGCTTTATTGTTTATAAATAAAAAGCTTATTCTAATGTGAGTTAGGTATATTTTTCTTATTCGTCGGCCAATTCTACCAGGAATATAAAGATAACATTGAAATAAAAAATAAGTAAAATTATTTTATAAAACTCAACATATTTGATTATCAAACAAATCAAATAATTATTGTATTAATTTTAGACTTTTTAACATTACCCCCATACTAGGATTTTCTCCTGTATACCGTGGAGGCAGTTTACAAACATAATTTGCACAAGGACAAACATCAAGACCCGGAACAATTATTTGTACACCATACAAATACTTGTTCCGTGCGGAATTCGAACCCGCGGCGCCCAGCGCAACAACTCATTGCTAAGCCACTGCACCACGGAGCTTGTTTATTTTATAATTTTTGTACAATCTTATGCTGGGGCCACACTAACGAGAAATGCCGTTAATTATCGCGTTGATGGACGTTGAATGTAGGTGTGGCCACCACTTAACGCGTTAATTTGACAATGACATTAACAATGCCGTTTGCCGTTTGGTGATAACTCAAATAGAGGTAATAACGGAAGGAAATAACGCGTTGAAGTGGCCACACTACGTTTGTCTGACTGTGCACAATTAGCGCAACAGGGTCCCACGTGCTATGTTGGAGCGGAATAATATAAAAAAATATTACGTTTTCTAAGATTCTGCAAACAGAGCCATGTTTGTGGGATCCGAGACTCACAAGTTTTATGAATCGTACAGCGCAAAATGATGCTTTGCGACGAATTATCCAATTAGGTATTAACTTTTAATACAACTATCGAAGAATTAGAAAGGCGAAGGAAAACCTAATGGGTTTTTATAGAACCATTTTTAACAAATATAAAATGTCTTCAAGGAACATTAACGCCAACTTTAACGCCGTTCAATGGCATTGACATTTAATGACGTGGAGCGTTCAAGTGTAGCCAACTTTATCGCGTTAAATTTAAACAAATACTTGCTGCATCTATAGGCATTGATGTTTACCGTTAGTGTAGCACCAGCATTAGCACGTTCGCTAGATGCTCGACGCAGGGGCGGGGCGACACCCATGGTCGCGCTGTGAGCTTAGCGTTAAGATATGAATATCGATAGTCGATATTTTTTTTCAATAAAACGTTTTAAATTTTTATTTTGTCTCGTAAATCATTTAACCTACTTCTACCCAATCTTCTCTTCTTTATTTTATTCTATTAATTTTCTTCCAGTTCATTTATTTGCTTATTATCTTAAAAAGAAATGTAATTTTGTATAGTATATCTCTGTGGTATTAAAATTACTATAATATACGAAACTTTGCTAACTGAATGTTTTGCCGGGAACTTGACTAATTTTAACATATTAAATAGTTACATGTACAAAAAACATCGATAATGGCCAACATCGATATTTTGGGTAGGATAAACATCGAACATCGATGTTAAGCTATCGGTACAAACATCGTTGTTTCTACAACATCGATCATCCCTAATTTTACCTCTTTTTTCTATGGGGTACACATACCTCAAAAGTAGTCTATGAAACAAACAAACCAAAATCACAGAACACCAAAGAGTATAATAAGTATATACAGGAACAGAAGCAGAACACTATTACTCCTATCGGACCAAAATACTGAGGAACTGAGGTCAAACTCAAATTCTAAGACTGTGTCCGACGTGACGGTCAACATTAGATGGAATAATCATTTAAGAAATAAAATCCGCACTTCTCTTCTTTCCAATAATTATTGAAATAAATTAATATTCTTTGAAGTATTTTTATTATTTAAATTTGAAATCCTAATTCTGCCACCAGCCAGCCTGTATATTTCACGTATTGTATATTAGAACGGTACAGCAACGACAGCACCAAAAATAATTAAACCATCATCATAAAATGTTACTGTTATTTGTAATAAATGATTGAAGGATGCATCCGATACCAATACATTGTAATGTTGGATATATGTATGTATATGTTAGATATACTTTGGGTTTCGATACCAATATTTTTATTTCCAATACAACTTCCAAATTCAAGGTCTTCTAATATATCGAGACATTATTAGTTGTTGTACGTATTAAAATATATTTATATGAGTATCGATATCGGCAAAGATCGTATCTACATTTTTAACCGACTTCAAAAAGGATGAGGTATACTCACTTGGGCTGTTTTTTTAATGTATTACCGAAGAACTTTTTTTCTATGTTAACCGATTTTGACAATTATTTTTTTATTGAAAGCTGGTGCTTCTCGTGTCGTCCCGAATAAATTTGATCAAGATCTGACCAGTAGTTTTAGAGTTTCCTTAATAATGCGTAATTAATCGACTTCGAATATATTGATGATGTTCTCATTTTATTTATATTAAAGTTGGTTGTACAAAATATTTAATTTTACCACTTTTAGTTTAACAATTTTAAAATCTGAAAACTCTGTCGTCAACAGTATCTTTGAACGTGTGTAAAAACGAAGAATAGTCGTCTCAAGCCAAATCCAGCTGGTGGGGTTCGAAGTTCGAACCTTAGTCCGAAGTGAAGCCAGATACACTGACCACAAAATTACGCGATCGACCACCATATAAAACACATATTTTTTTAATTACTTATAAAATAAAACGTCAGAAAGCAGTCTTGTAAATGACATGTAATTTTAAATACTGTAAACAAGAGATCCGATATTTGATTGTTTTGTAATAGGTATGAAAACATTACAGACTTCCTAATTTTAAACTAACAGTTAATAATAAAGATTAGGTCTAACATCAACTTTCCGGTTATAAATACTTTAATCAGAAACATATCCAATGTCACTCGTATAAACTAGATCTATGTAAAAAGACTAAGATCTAAATTAAAATAAGGTATAAATTATAACTTTACACTGCAAAGGAACATTACACATAGCATTTATGGCTACGACCATAGCAAATACAAAACCTTATTCTAAAACTTAAAAAATTAGAAATACTTTCTCTTTATAAAACATGCTACAAGATCAAAAAATATATTAAAAGCATACAATCTCGAAAAATAAACACAATTATTTAAAATATAAATGCAATATTATTGGAATCATAAAGCTATTCTATAACAAAACACTGTTGTAAACAATGTAAAACATTCATAACCCAAATGAAAGCTTTAAGAATTGTACCAACAGCTTTTCTGTATTCGAGATTTCTAAAACATGTTTATAATAATACATAATATGGTCATTTGATAATAAATCTATGTAAAAGCACTAAGAATAAAATATAAGAACCAAAAGATTGCACAAAGTATAACTTAAAAAATAGTAGACTGGGTTTTTAATCCAAGTTTATAAAATTTGTTTTGTAACGGTATTACTTTACAATTAGATATAATGATATATTAAAAGGTAAAACATTTATTAAGGTAGGACATAACTTGGTGCGATAAAAATAATTAGAGTGACAATGAAGTTTGGTAGCATCTCATGGCAGTGTTACATTTGCTGAGGTGATGTTAGATTAAAAATGAATATAAAATTTACAAATACAATGTGATAAATTGATGCTCATGGCCTCCTTACAAACATAATGATCGTATTCCTTTCGATTTCAATGGATTTTACCCTAAAGAAAGTTCTCATTTTGTTCAATTATTTTACCCGTTGGATTTTATCATTCTTAGCACATCAAAATTGAATTTTAGCTAGTTACATACATTTCTCGATCATAAATTTAAAATACCGCCATATTGCTGTAATTTGAGGCCTTAAAATTATTGAAAAATGTTATTTAGAATTTCTAATGAGCAATGTATATATAATTCATTTTATATGTCAAATTTTAATATTTAAAGATTGGCAACAATAAAAATATAGCAATGTACAAAAGTTACCATTAATACATATAATTATCAACAAATGCAAAAGGGAGTTGGCATGGCCAATTGACTCACACCGTCTATAAAACGCTAGGAAAAAATACACAACTGTATACAATACATTCATCCTCACTACATACAGTTTGTATATCATCTTATATTTTCGTTTCTAAGGTTCAACTTGTGTAAAATATTGAGAATTATATCATCTCATTTTTAATTTCTTTTACAAAGTTATAATAAAAAAGTTCATACATGACCTATACCTTGGCTATTAACAGTAAGATAACATGAGACTTGTCACATTTATCACTGATTAAATACCAACATTAAAAATTATTCTATTGTTTAAAATTATACCGCCCAAATGAATTTGACTAGTCTTAACATTGTTCACTCTCCAATATATAGATACATTTTCGTCACTGAAATAACATAAGCAAATTCATACCCATCTGCCATCAGCCATACAAAATTCGTAAAAGTCTTTGAAATTATGAGCTAAATGAGCTGAGAGCACTTGTTTTATTATCACATAATTTATTATCAGTCGAATGCAAAACTAATTTCTGCATTGGGTCTAGTATTATTTTAGAATTGTCTTCGTTTAACTCCTGTTTTCTACACAAGCTATTAACTGCCACGCTGTCTTTTACCAAGTCCAAGTCGTTGTTTGTAGTTTTATTGTCAAACACAGGGTAAAAGTCATATTGTGTCTTTCCATTACTCACATGCTTGTTTGATTTGTCTGTTTTTAAACATTTTTGCTTTTTGACATCATCAAAGGACTGTTCATTCCAACCCTCGGTTTTTGAACGGACAGGGTCCCAGTCTTTCCTGAATGAACTTGATGGCTTGGTTGTTTCATTAGATGCAAATTTTTGTTGTATGTCATTAATTTGGTAGTGGTTCTCCCGGCTGGATACAATTTGACCGTAAACCGGCGTGCAATAGGTTGTATCGGAGTTTGTATTCCCACATTTATTATCTCTAAGTGCTAGATTTTGATTAATTTGGCAGTTGTTCATGCCTGAGTCAAATTCGGACTTCTGACCTGCATTGAGCAATATTTGTTTTGAGGATTTAACTGTGTTCTTTCTTTCACTGTTTTGATGATTTCTATTTGGTGATCCATTGTCATATTGTCTATTGCCTCTAGAGTTATTTCTATCATCTTCATTAATTTCATCACTACCAATCCCATCAATATCATAGACCTGAAGAATAATAAGGTTCAAATAAGTATAAAAATTGTCCGACAAAATGTCTTATTAATTGGTATACTTACCCATATTTATACGACACTGTGATAAACAAACCATTCCAACAGATGCTAGTGTTGATCATAGACATTTATATCCATACTCCATAAAACATCAAAATGTTAAAGTCACAGGACTAAGACTACAGGACTAAGATGACAGATTGACTGTAGGTATATCGAGGTGCAGAAGTGTCTGTACATTAGGGTTACGAAGGACCATCCTTCACCGGTCGAGTCAAGCCCTTTGCACTACAACCATAATATAGCTGTCGCATGGTTCTACCACAAAAAAAAATTATAGCTCAAAGAACCACAAACTGATGTGAATTAAAGGTTCTTGAGTATAGCCTCATACCAGTAAGCAAAGTGCAGGGTGCCCTCTCCTCGTTGTAGAGACAACCTGGTAAGACACCATCATCATCATTACAGCCCTACACAAGTCCATTGCTGAACATAGGCCTCCCCCAAGTAATGCTACAATTACCTGCTGGAATTAATGGATACTGGTGGTTTAGGATTGTGCTTTGTGGCATTCCATGGAGGTCTTTGTTCAGTAGCAGATTTGTGATGAGTTATAATGATGATGATGATGATGAATAACAAACTCTGATACACACTGAGTTGTTATAAAGAGGATTTAAGTTAGAAAAATAATATTTTACCTTGTACATCACATCTTGACTCAATCCTTTTTCCTTTTCTCTCTTATTCTGGACTGCAAGCCAAACATCTTTCAGCTCCCCAGCTAGATCTCTATCTTTGAGTATGACTGGATTCCTAGCCAGTACCAAACCAGGGTTCATTGCCTCCACAAAATCGCAAAGAAGGCTTACTAAGGCTTCTCGATCCTGCAAAGAAGTATTAAGTAATTAAAATAATAAATGTGGGTTTAATGGTTGTGTTTTTTATTTAAAATTGAATTGACAAATTAACATTCCACTTGATGGTAAGCGTTTACTGCAGCCCATGGAGACCTGCAACCGACTTGAAACAAATTACGCTACAGATGCATTGTCACCTCTAAAGACAAAGATGGAATGCCACACAGCCTGTAATTATACTGGCTCTCCATAACATTAAAAAAACATAACCCTCATGTTTATATTACTGAATCTCCATCATCTTTAAACAGTGTTCAAACACAACAGTGTTGGCACTGTTGCTTGTCAGCAGAAAACATTGTTATTTTAATTGTTAACAGGAAGATGCTACTGCCCACCTCCTGATACCATTTCTCTCTGTCCTCGCTTACATTTCCCACCAGATGACATCAGGTAGTGGATCCTCTACCCTACCAATCTACAGAAGAGCCGAGCTTCTTTGCCCTAAAACCTTCTCAGAAATGAGAGGAGGCCTGTGCCCAGCAGTGGGACATATATATATATATATATATTTATATATATATATATATATATATATATATATAAATATATGTATATATATATATATAGGCTGTTACTTAATTTACTTTTATTATGTGAGAAGAGACAAAATTGAGTAAACATAATTAATTACAGTAGGATTAGAAGCATTCTTGCCATTAGCCTTTAAGATGTCTGGATTTACCATCACTGCAAACACAAGAAGAGGTGGCCTGTTACTGTTTGGTCCGCACCCTTGCTGCACCTGTAATCATTTTAAATAAGAGAGTTAAATAAAGTTTATAAAAGTTATATAAGACTAATACATCTTAATTATTTGGTTTCTTTTTATTAATAATAATGATAAATTATATCTCAGAGAAATAAAATATTATTTCATACCTGCATCCCTCCATATAATGGTATGGGATCAGAATACTGTTTCGGATTCGCTATTTTCTGCCATCCCAAAACATTTATGTATAACTTTTCTGAAGTATCTTTTATTGTATCTTGGATACACATATGAGGTTGTGGTGGATTTTTAAACTGACGAAATGCACGTGTCCCTCGAACATACTGTATTGGTGCTGCTTTTTCTTGCGGGTTTTGATTATCCATGTCAATATTAGTAACAAGGAGGAAAAACAACTGAATTACTTATGAAAAATCACTAGGTAACGTTCTCTAAAATAATAATCCAATGACATTTCTAACAGGCTTCGACATCGACACAGATCTGATCTGACATCTCAAGTTTATTGAACTTTCTACAGCTTACCGATGCAAACACTAAAAAAAGTTACAAGTTAAACGTATATAATCTATGGTTAAAACGGAACGTAGGTACCACGATAAGCATCCGATCGTGCTGTTTATTTATGACTTCCTTGCTACATATATTTGTTAGTAAAGCTTCTTCAATAAGGAAGTGAAAAAGTATTTCCGATCTCTCTATATATACAGGTAAGCATTTTGAAGGAAATGTCGACAGAAGTTAAACCGGTGAACGGACGTAACGTTGACGTTTTTATTAACAAAATGTATTCAAATTTAAACTAAATATACGTTCTCACGAACTACGGTTCAATTGCTTTGGCCTTAGATAGCTACTACATTATAATATAATTAATGGAGTTCTACTACAGCATTGTACTACCTTCTCGTATGTAGAACCTATTATACTCGATAAGCAATAAGTAGACGTATCATAACATCATAGTAACTTAAAAAAGGTTGGAATACCTGTATATTATTTATTATTTCTTTTTGGGTCCCAATTATATGAATTTGAATTTTTAAACTTGGTTACATACTTAGTGACTGACAATAGGAGTTTTACCGAGAGGCAAGACCGTTCTACAATAGCGCGAATTTTCTAGTTCAAACTAGTGAATGATGAAGTAAGACACTAGAAAATTTCGCTATATCATTTACTTTCTCACCGGAAATCTCAAAAACATTCGATAGGATTCAGAGCAATTTTCCATCTTAATAATTTTCTCAGTGCTGGGTCTGGATTTCAGATTTTCCAAGGGTAGGTCTCTTGCAATAGTGATTGATGGCCGCTCATCTAAACCTGTGGCTAAATATTATTGTCGGAATCGTCCAGGAATGAATTTTATCTGCTCATCTTTTCTTGCTTTGCAACTGTATTATCCTACATAACCATTTTATGGCGTGCAGATCATAACACAGTTATTGAGAATAAAAAAAATCTATAGTCCGTTCGCGTTAAGAAAATAGTGAGTCATCAGTGCAACTACAGGGTATAGGTGTATTCACAGTTTAGTAAAAATTCTCTTTTTTTCCAAACATTTAATTAAGTTTAATGGAAACAAATTTTCTTAAAACTACTTAAATCACTAATCAGTATCGCTAGATTCTCCAGTTACATTAATTATGAAAGAATTTTGTTCTGCAAGTTCCATGATGTCATCCAAATTCCACATAGTATTTTCTTCGCGTATCACGTGGTCGCAGCACTTCTTCCAACGATTAGCGTCTATTAATGCTATTGCGTCATCTAATAATTTTTTATGTCACTCATTTTGAACGTGTAGTTATTGGCACCAACATAATTTTTTATTTGGGTCCAAACTAATTCAATTGGATTAAGTTTGCAATGGTAAGGCGATAGGCGAAGAATTGTAATGCCATTACTTTTGGCAGTCTCATCTATTAAATATTTATTGTATTGTGGGGCGATTTCGGCAACTTTCATTAATAATTCTTTTTTAAATAAGTCATATCCATGGATTTGCCTTTGCTTTGCAGCCAATCTATTATTTGCTGCTTGTTCCAGCTGGTTGTTGGTATTTTTTCGACTCTTACCGAATGATAGGGACCGTTATCCATGACAACCACACTTCCTGGTTCCAGCTTAGGCATTATATTAATGAACCAATTAAGGAATCTTTCACCATCCATCTCTTCATGATAGTCTTTTGTAGACTTAGATTCAAATACTAGTAGACCATCTTCCACGAATCCTTTGTCGCTGCCAATGTGCAATACAATTAACCTTTTACCTTTTCCTGTCGGAGCTTTTGGACCGGCTGATAAGCCATCTAGAAAGGCTTGTCTTTTATTTTTTACCGTTGTATCCAACCATCCTTTTGTCTTTACGTGTCCGCGTTTACCCACGTTTCGTCAAGATAGTAAATGGTTTTATTAGCGGCTCTGTATTCTTTTATTTGCCTCAAATATTTACACCTCCATAAAACAATATATTCTCTTTCGACTAACAATGTTCTGCTATCCTGTTTATTGAAATCGAAACAAAGCTTGTGCATTATTTTATTAAATGTGGTACGTTTGAAAACAGGAATATCTTCGTCAGCTTCGCAAAGTGTCATAATTTTGTCCCATGTCGGGTGTCGTTATTTAAATATATTGAGTGAACTTTTCTCCTTATTGCACATTTGTCTAGTTCATCTAATTTATCGACCGTCGATAGTCGAGCTCTTTTTTTCACGGGTGATTTTAATGTGTTAGTATCCTTTTGTTCTTTAATAATTTTATAAACAGTATTTTCGGATACACCACATGCACTTGCTGTTTTTATTACTGTGCTCTCCACAGTCGCATTTAAATCACACAGTTTAAAGTACTATTAACACTGTAAATTACGCGTCTCTCTCCGCTATGGATTATTGATCCATTTTTATCTTTCGAATAGGTGAGGTATTCATTTTCAAAATTTAATGTTGAACGAGTAACACGCAAAATACACAACCGTTTTGTTCGAATGCCTGACTTCAACTGGTCACTGTGAACTCGACTTTCTAATTTCTTGCATTTTAATTGGCTGGGGGGCGTGGCCAGGTCGGCGGACAACGATGACTCACTATTTTCTTAACGCGAACGGACTATAGCGTACATATTGTGTTACCTAGTCTAAATCTAGTGTGTTTACTAACGTGTATAGAAAATGATGATTTCTTAAAGGTTCTCTTCTAAAAACTGAAAAATCTTTATTGCAACACCCGTGTAGTGGTGGTGTAAGAATATCCACTACCCCATATCATCCCACGGGTGAAAGAAACCAGGAGATGGGCGGCAGCATCTCAACCAAACCTTCGGCTGATTTTTGCCGAGTGTGCGTTCGAATGTTTTTTTAATCATGTTTTTTTTGCGTTTATATCACACCTTAAAGGCGATTTCTGACTGGGGCACTTCTTACTCAAGACTTATTCTTATCGGAATGTAGCCTTGTAATTTTTTTTTAAATATTAGTAATCTTATTAATTAACATTACTAATATTCCTTTTAACCACTCCTGGTAAGCTTGAACGCTTGTGTTTTCCTAAACCTTTTAAGTTCGCGATCCGCGCCCTGCCATTAGGCTACTGTCGCTTCAAATAACTGACAGTTGTCAGCTTCTAGGGAGACAAAGTTTCATTCGACCTCAACTTTCACGTAGCGGCGCGTTCGGCATACTTTCGGAACACAGAAATCTAAATATAAATAGAAGTCGTAAAAGCTCGTGACCTTGTCGCCGCACATTTGACTCGTAGGCCAAAAGCGGGCTACGAGCGTTTGTTTCGGTTACCAGTACTGTTCGGTTCGGACGCAGAGAAGTAAAAATGGTGTTTTGAAGCATATCCAACTGCGGAAATTCCTCCGCAACTTGCAAATTTTCTAATAAATGGATAAAATTTCATAAATAAATACTTAGTGTTTTAAATAATGTTGTGTTTAATGAAATATACTTAAATAAAATTATCCATCTCCAGTCTACTATTGTCCCCGAAATTTTAATTGTTTTCACACTTCAATATCCATTGTTTCCTCAGCTAGTTCATGTCTACACTACAATCAGCGATAGATTTATAGTATGGGCAATAAACAAAATTGTTGCGTAATTAATTTCCTAGAACATGGCCGCAGGAGTCGAATGCGAGTCAGTTACGTGACATTACTATTTTGTATCGATAATTTATTATGTTTGGCTTACCCAGTTTTAACGGAACAGGAATTAAATGTGATTTTTCGTTAAATATTTATTTACATCTTTGTACTTTTTTTTCTAAATATTTTATACCGTTAACCGTTTATCGGCGATTATCTGTTTGTTTGTACTTTTAAATTACTTGATAAATTTTTAATAAGTTATGTTGTAAGGATAAGTAATTATATTATAAGGATAGTAGTCTTAACTCGATCTGTAAGAAGCCGGGAAACTGAAAATTAGCAAACAACAGAAATTCAGTTACAGATCTTTAAAACTAATAAAAAATGATAAATATTTCACCCATACATATATTTATTCGTTTGCTGTTTGTGTAATGTTGTATTAATTTTATTTATACATCTGTTTATTGCCGTGTAGTGGCGGTTAAGAATATCCACTACCCCATATCTTCCCGTGGGTGTCGTAAGAGGCGACAGAGGGAGACAGGCAGGAGATGGGCAGCAGCATCTTCCTGATAACATCTACTGTACGACAAAAAAAAAACTGCGGTTGCCAACCCGTTCGCCAAGCGTGGCAACTATGGCAATATACCCCCTATGAACAATTACACAAATAGACGGCCTCAGTCCCCGGCGGCTCCGCTATTCCTGGCTACGGTGGCAACCATGGTAACGGCGGGGCTGGGGGTGCTAAGAATCTCCGGTGGAGGTTCGGTTACCACCTACGACGACTCGACCTGGCAACATTTAACGCACGCACACTGAGGACTGACGAGAAGATCCTGGAGCTGGAAGAAGAGATAGACAAGTTGCGCTGGAGTATTATCCGAGGTCCGAAGAGAGGGGGAGTACACGGTGATTCTCGAATCCGGCAACTTGTTCTATCACCGGGAGGGCGACCATCTGTCCCAAGGAGGTGTCGGATTTATCGTCCACAAGTCTCTCGTCAACAACGTTGTATAGATTGGGAGTGTGTCGACGAGGGTCGCGTACCTGATACTCAGAATCACCAAACGGTATTCGCTGAAGGTCATACAGGTTTACGCACCAACCTCGGCACATTCCGATGAGGAGGTGGAGGAAATGTATGAGGATATTTCCAAAGCCATGCATTCCTCCAAAACCCACTACACGGTGTTGATGGGAGACTTCAACGCAAAACTAGGCACAAGAGAAAACGGTGAGCTGAAGTTAGGGAAATTTGGAGAAGGGCAACGGAACCGAAGGAACCAGCAGCTGGCCGACTTTATGGAGAAAGAGGGACTCTTTATGATGAACTCTTTCTACCAGAAGCGGCCCCACAGGAAGTGGACCTGTTCGAGCCCCGACGGTTCGACAAAAAATGAGATTGACTTCATTATGACGACCAGACGCCAACTGTTCAGTGATGTCTCAGTGATCGCAAGGGTGAAAACTGGCAGAGATCACCGAATGGTTAGAGGCACACTGAACCTAAACGTTAAGTTGGAGAGGTCTCGTCTAATGAAGTCAACGCTCCGTCCCCCCTCGTGCTCTAATCCAGAATCCCGAAAACTTTCAGCTCGAGTTACACACCCGCTTTCAGTGCCTACAAGATTGCAATGCAGTGGACGATATGAATGCCAAGCTCGTGGAAACTGTCCATGCGGTCGGAGCTAAGTTCTGCAAGACCCGCCGCAGAAGAACACAAAAACTCTCCGATCACACTCTTAATCTCATGGCTGTTAGACGGGAGATGAGGCTGCAATCGTCAACAGATTTGACAGCATACAGGCAACTGAACAGACAGATCTCCAAATGCATGCGGCGAGACTTACGCAACTTTAATACTGCTCGTATTAAAGAAGCGATCGAGCGGAACCAGGGCTCCAAAGTCTTTGCCAGAGATCTGTCTGCCCGTAAGAGCCAACTGTCAAAGCTGAAGACTGAGTGTGGCAGCATCGTTTCCGGGACACCTGAGATTTTGAGTGAGATTGAGAGGTTCTATGGGCAGCTGTACACATCATCGTTGGAGCCACAGGCAAGTGTGAGTAACGATCCAAGAGCAAGTCTTATCCGACACTATTTCGATGATATCCCGAACGTCAGTCTAAGCGAGATTAGAATGGCTCTCCAGCACCTTAAAAACGGCAGGGCCCCAGGCGAGGATGGAATTACAGCGGAGCTTCTGAAAGCGGGTGGAACACCGGTACTTGAAGTCCTTCAGAAGCTCTTCAATTCCGTCCTCCATGGTGGCACTACTCCAGAGGCGTGGAGCAGAAGTGCGGTGGTCTTGTTCTTTAAGAAAGGCGACAACGCTCTCTTGAAAAACTACAGACCGATTTCCCTTCTGAGCCGCGTCTACGTGCTGTTTTCGAGAGTCATTACGAATCGTCTCGCAAGCAGACTCGACGACTTCCAGCCTCCCGAACAAGCCGGTTTCCGAAAAGGCTTCAGTACCATAGACCACATACATACCCTGCGGCAGATTTTACAGAAGACTAAAGAGTACAATTTGATACTTTGCCTGGCGTATGTGGACTATGAGAAAGCCTTTGAAATTTCGTCGAAATTTGGGCGGTGCTGCAGTCCCTTCAGCGGTGCCAAGTTGACTGTCGGTATATCGAAGTGCTGAAGTGTTTGTACAGTAGGGCTACGATGGCTATCCGAGTACAGAATCAGAGCTCGAAACCTATCCAACTGCAGAGAGGTGTAAGACAGGGTGACGTTATATCCCCGACTCTTCACCGCTGCTTTGGAAGACGTTTTCAAGCTACTGGACTGGAAAGGATACGGTATTAACATCAAGGCGAGTACATCACTCACCTTCGATTTGCCGACGATATAGTCCTTATGGCAGAATCGCTGGAGGACTTAAGCACTATGCTCAATGACCTCAATAGTGCCTCCCAACGGATAGGTCTTAAGATGAACATGGGCAAAACAAAGATCATGTTTAATGTCCATGTCACACCTATGCCGGTAGTTGTTGGGAGCACTATGCTCGATGTTGTTGACGAGTACGTTTACCTGGGACAAATAGTCCGACTAGGTAAGTCCAACTTCGACCGAGAGGTCAATCGACGGATTCAACTCGTCTGGGCAGCGTTCGGGAAATTACGACACATCTTCTCGTCAGGTATACCTCAATCTCTGAAAACTAAAGTGTACAACCAGTGCGTGTTGCCAGTGATGACTTACGGATCAGAGACGTGGTCCTTCATTGCTGGCCGTATGAGGACGCTCAAGGTCGCTCAGCGAGCTATGGAGAGGGCTATGCTCGGAGTTTCTCTGCGTGATAGACTCAGAAATGAGGATATCCGCAGTAAAACCAGAGTGACCGACATAGCCCAACGGATTAGTAAGCTGAAATGGCAATGGGCCGGCCATATAGCTCGAAGAACCGATAACCGATGGGGAAGAAGTTTCTCGAGTGGCAGCCTCGTACCGGTAGGCGTAGTGTAGGGCGACCCCCCACTAGATGGAGTGACGACCTGGTAAGATATGCAGGAAGTCGATGGATGCAGGTGGCTCAGGGCCGTGCTTTGTGGCATTACTTGGGGGAGGCCTATGTTCAGCAGTGGACTTGTGAAGGGCTGTAATGATGATGAATGATGATCTGTTTATTTAATACAATGCTTTTATTACAAGTTTCCAAAAGATGCGGTTATTAAAGATAAATGAATATATTTATTCTTTTTTCTAATTATAAAATGTCTAAAAGCTAAAGCTAAGACTAAAAGCGTCTATTACTGAGACAATTTTAGTTTATTAGTTATATCTTGGTGTAAGACTACTGGAAGATCAACGACGCTTAATAGAAAGTTATCAAAACATGCGTTGCGCTGCACTATGCCCAAGTGAGAGCGAGCGTTGCACTAATTATTGGACCGAGTGGCTACGCCTCCTGAGATTTTGCGTTTTTATAAAATATTCCTTAACGCAATAGTTTATAGATTAATCTTTGTTGCATGAATGCTAGAGGTATTTGTAGGCGTAATTGTGTATTTATTATGTAATAGGGAAGAGCACTGTGATCTGAAATACAGGTATATATTTATCTAGTTCAGACACAGATGTTCCATCATTCTTTGTGAATTAGGTATAGATCATAGAATAGTTATTTATAAATGTGATAGTTATGCAAGTGTTGAAAATAAAGAATTATTATTATTATTATTTTTGTCTATGTTTGAGAGCTACGACCTGGCGACACGCGTCCCACTATTAAAAGTCAGTAGAAAGCATTTATATTGTCTTATTGTTTAGATTTTTGTCACGAACGTCACCACTACGGACACTGAAATAGAAGATAGTGTGTTTGTCCGTTACAATAAACGCTCCACCCTGTTTCTTTTAGGCAAAGCTAGCAGGAAGCAAACTGGTTTAACCAAAATACGTCAGTACATAACGGGTAACGGGTTTCTAAATTTCTTTTTCAAGCACAAACCCAAATTTACGACGAATGTGGCAGAGCCACACTGCAGCTATAACAAAAATGGGTCCGATCGACCGGGGAAGGACCACGCTCTTACAGAATACCAGCGTGCAATAGTAGCTTAATGCTGCTGCGCTTCGTATTCACCATACCATACCATGTAGGGAATTGCAGACACTTTTTACTGGAAACGAGCCATTCTATCTTAGTCCTCAGTGGTGACAACGCATCTGCATTTTGATTCTTTGATAGATGAATATGTCTTTGGGCCACAGCATCCACTTACTACCAGATGGACTGTAAGCTCGTTTGACACACTTATTCCATAAAAAAGACGCTGTTGCCACAGGTGTTTAGTGTCAACTGGCTGCCATGGACTCGGTGAGAAGACGTATTATGGGATTTCTTGAGTGTCGAGTTTTGGTTACGTAAGAGAATCAATTACCCTATTCCATCTTATGGGTATCGTAACAGGCGACAGTGGAATATGCCAAAAATACTTTATGGCTCCCGCTTTATGGCTTAACCATCTCGGAAATACTCAGTGATGGGGAACAGCGTCAAATGTCATCATCATCATCAACATTACAGCCCTTCACAAGCCCACTGATGGACATAGGCCTCCCCCAAGGTATGCCACAAAGCACGGTCGTGAGCCACCTGCAACCATCGACTTCCTGCATGTCGTACCAGGTCGTCAATCCATCTAGTGGGGGGTCGCCCTACACTTCGTCTACCGTGTGTGAGTGGCTGCACTGGGGGTCGCGGGTTCGAGTCGCGCACGGAACAAGTATTTGTATGGCCTACATATAGTTGTTCCGGGTCTGGACTTTTGTCCTTGTGCAATTTATGTTTGTAAACTGCCCTCGAGAACCTTTTTTCCCCAACGGTTGACGGTTCTATTTGAGCTATATGGCCGGCCCATTGCCACTTCAGCTTACTAATCCGTTCCGTCATGCGAAAAAATTATTGCGATCATCAATTCGCCTGCCAAGTTTGATGAGGCTAATCCACTGGAAGAGGGGACACACACACACACACACACACACACACACACACACACACACACACACACACACACACACACACACACACAAGACACCACTCCGCACGCACACGCAAGCAAGATGTTAATAGGTTCTTACATTTCATATTGAAGTTTCTTTCTGGGTCTGTTCAAAGGTAATAAAGCAAAACAAAGATATTGTGAGGCGTAAATTTTTATTAAAACTGTAAATGTGTGTGCTGAAAATTTCTTGTAAAATACTTTTAATTCTAATTTTTAAGTGTTAATATCGTGATATAGTAGAAATATATTAACTATATATATATATATATATATATATATATATATATATATATATATATATATATATATATATAAGTTAAATGTTTTTTAAATAATTTTATTTAAGTAGCGTGTAATAGCTGTAGGCCCCTTTAAGAATCTGAAAACAAAAATCGATATTGGTATTATTTGCTTTTTTTCGATTCAAAAAAAGTCAATTTTTACAACACATTTATCTACCAAAGTAAAAAAAATTAATGTTTTGTTTTGTATTCGTACATCGTCGAGACGGTAGTGGGCCAAAAGAAAAAGAGCACCTAAGGGAATAAATAGGCTTCCCTTGCAAATGGACCTACATTGTTTTGATGCTAACGTCGAAAGCTGCAGCTAATTTATTCGTAGATTGATTATTATCATCAGCTTCCACATTCGTCTTTAATTCGTCATTCATTTTTCAGGTCGAAATTTCCAGAACGCAAGCGGGTAAACCAATAACAGGTGGTGCGTTCGTTATAGCATTCGCTCCGTAAACGTCGTTGATGTTGCTGTCACGACGGTACTCATATTACATAATTACTCGAATTTGTAACATATCAATGATGATGAAAAAGATTCAAATGCGATTAAAAAAAGCGATCTATGTGCGACCCGAAAGGTCCACACGACTAACTTCCCAGTGGAAATAATAAAAAAATATCATATTATGTTTTAATATTTTATATAATTTTTCATTCGGCACAAGAAACGACTTGACCAATTTTGCTCAAAATTTAATTAGTTCTAAGTTCATAATGATAATCTTTATTGCTATCAATTGATAACAATTGATGTGAGGTTTTTAAAAAAAAAAGGCCGCATTTTAACCCAGTTTGGGCGTAACAATTATAAAAATATTAAATATTATTTTTAAACTACAATATTAGAATTCATTAATAAATTACATTATTAGATTATATTATTTTAAAATTCTGTAAATTTAATTAAATTAATAATCACAATGTCAAGTAAAAAAATAATAAAAATTATTATAAATAAAAAATAAAATTAAATAAACAATAATAATTTAAAAAATTCAATTAAATTAGATAGGCACTGGCCGAAGTTGTCCACACAAATTAAATAATATTTGTATCAAAATATTCATTTAGATTATAAAAACATTTTTCAATTAAATATAACTTTAATTTGGATAAAAATGTAGTATTCGTTAGATTTTTATGTTATTTGGAAGGTTATTAAAAATTTTAGTGTCGTACAGTAGGGATAATTAATAAGTTACATAATTATAAGTTAAATGAAAACTGTCCCATGTCATTATCACTCTTTGTTTTCCAGATACACGAGCCGAAAATTGAATCTGAACATACATACATACATACGTACGTGTGCACACACGGACATCCTCTTAAAAAGCATACTATTCGACTCTAAAGACCTTGAAATGTGGAGATATGTTAAAATTTCCATAATGATTTCTTATATTTACGCGAACACTATACATGATTAAAACTACTTTTACGGATTTTATCGCGTTTATTTTTACTTTTTTATTTACTTTTATTTTTAATTCCCGACGTTTCGGGCGCTTTCCAGCAGTCCCCCGTGACCATGGGTGCTGGAAAGCGCCCGAAACGTCGGGAATTAAAAATAAAAGTAAATAAAAAGTAAAAAACAAACTATGCGACTCTAAAGACCGTGAAAAGTGGAGATATGTTAAAATTTCCAATTTGCAAAATCGGAACAATTACAATAACTTCAAACGGGGAAGTTAACATAAACAAATTACTAATTTTGAAAAAGGAGTTCCATGTTTTTAAAATAAAATTCATTTGAAATTAGAATTTTTGGCCAAACAACCAAACATAAATTATTTTGATTTAAAATGGCCAGTACTGCAGAACTGCAATTTTATAGGTAAAGACCTTATTATAAGGTGCATCAGGATACAAGTCGTTTTTCACTTCAATAAAAAAAATTTGGCTATCTTTTGGATTCGACCTCTGAATCTCCAACTCAGTAATCATGCGTGACCACTAAGCTACGAAACATACCGTAATAAATGACGGAAGTGTCAGATTGGTGAACGGGCCGGCCGTAAACATGTGGACACGCCTTAGCTGTCCTGCGAGTAGCAGTATATTCCTGCGTTGCCGGAGACCTGCCCTCCACCACTCGCTTTCATATGGACCGAGCGTTACATTACCACACTGAAATCACAGAGTAAGGATCAGAGGGGAAGCTTCCTAACAACGTCGAAAATGTATACCTATTTTGATAGGGTTGTCATCTAATGAATATGAAAAATTTAAGGAAAAAATAACAACATAATAGTATAAAACAACATGTGGTTTCATTGTAACTTAAATTAATATAACAATATGTATATTTATTGTAAATTAAATTGAAACTGCAAAAATTGTATACTTTGCTAATTTTCATAGTACTTATTATATCTTATGGAATCTTGCTGTAGGGTAAAGCGGCGAATATTGAGAAAATACGTGCAATTTATAATTAAAAACCGCGCAAAACCCGAAAACTGAAAAACCCCGAAAACGAATTTGATCCGGAATTTTCAAGATATAATTAAAGCAATATTTATTGACTAACAACCCGCTCCGGCTCCACCTGGATAGTGGCGTTATTTAGATTTAAGGTATACAGACTATTTATTTTATAAATCTTTATATAAATATTTTTGATATAAAATATATCCTAGATCCCTCCTGGCATTTAGTGGCGAAGCTAGGGCTCCAAACTAGGGCAAGCCCAAGATGTGGTTCCCACTTTTCAGTTTCATATTCAGTGCTGTCGAGGACGTTTTTAACAAGCACACAGAAGGCATACTACTACTTTTTTGTTTGTATGACATATCAGCAATTGCATACCTTCGGTGTCTTTGAAAAAAAAAGTTTGGGCTTGCTTGAGTGAAAGAAAAAGATATTTACATACAATACAATACATGAACAAAAGAAAAGCATGAACAAAGTAAAAACAAACTATTTACAAAATTAAAAAAAAAATATATTCTAAACCGAATCGTCTCTCTTTCTTAAGGAAAGATTTGATTACGTCCGCGTAAAATGTTGGTGAACGTTTTAATTGTACCAATAACTGTTTTTCAATTGCGATAATAGATCAGTCTAAAAGACGCTCTTGACCTTGTGTTTCTCAAATAAGTGTGGATGCGCTTCAGAGATGAGAAAGCACGTTCCGTGTAGGAACTTGTGGCTGGAATAGTTACGACAAGATAAGCTAACTTTAAAAGCTGGGGAAAGGCCTTCTCAAAACTATTTTCGATTATAAAGTCAATGAGTTCGAAAACATTGCGGTATTCAGGGGAGGAATACAATGAAATCAAAGGGTTTTTCAATTTTTGGTTTATCAAAATGGTTTGCGTAATTTTCAAATAATGAATCTAATGCCTCTAAAGGAAAATCTGGACGATATTTTTCGACTAGCTTGTTGTTAAACAATTAGAAAATTTTTAATTTGAAAATTTCAGAATAGCGGCCATTCATTTTTGAAGATATGTTATCAATTATTTAAACAAAAAGTCGTTTGTATTCTGTCTGAGCACAGCGCACATTGCATCTCAAATGAGGAGCAGAGTTATTTTGCAATGTGTTTTCATAAATGTGATCAAAATCTGACTGAAATTCAGTACGTAACCGTTACCGTACCCGACCGTTTTGTGCTGTTATTAAGAAAATTAAATAAAGTAAAGTGCCTTCCCCAATCCTCTTACAAGATTTAGATAAAACTAATGCCAAAATGTGTGAATTACACCAAATAAATATACATGGCTTGGGGACAAACATCTTTAACTTTTTGTTGCACTCCATTTCTGACACCGGACATGACGCACCGTCATAGCTTTGCACAACTAGTTTTGTGGTGCAGTCATGTTTGTTTAATACTTCCAATATGATATGACAAAGTGTGTCTGCTGTGCGACGACGTTTACGAGTTATTTTATTAGTTGATATTATTGATTGAGCAGTTTGATAGGGCAAGCCCGGCCTCTCGGTTTCTATGGAAGCTTCGCCACTGCTGGCATTACTCTCTAGCTGGTCGTATAGTTTAATCACAATTGGTACAGCCATTCTGAATATTAGCGCGTACAGACAGACAGAAAAAAAATAAGTACCTAACTACAGTGGCAACCGTTGTAGTTTACAGGAGTTATGAGAAAAACATGATCGAGAAGTGTACCATATATTTGCATTATATTTTCTTGTATTTTATGTTGTAACGCACGCATATCTTGCGCCATCCATCATGAGCGAATCTGAAGATGATCCTCTTTCGCCTACATCTATAAATATGACAATCATTACGTCTCATAAATATGTTACCTTCTCGAGGACATCATTGCTGTGCCAACAGAATAAGAACAGCTGTGTGATTCCGAACACTAAGTATTCCGCCACTAGCAATTTCTGTGTTGCGTCGTTGGTGGACTGCAAGAAAAATGTAGTATAATGTAATATTACAGACTTTAAAGTTTCCATTGCTAGACACAGACCTCCTTTCATTTCTAAGAGGTTAAAATACCTACGGTTAGTTCAAATGCACTAAAACAAAGCTTCAATGAACACATAATTACGTAGAAGAACATCACAGGAGACAGCAAGGAGTTAAACAGCTGGAAGTTCCTAAAACAAACAAAATAGTTTAATTAAGTGGTAGAGTCACACTACAGCTATATAATGGTTTCAGCATGATTGAGTCGGCTTGACCGGGGTAAGACCATGCTCTCACCGAATACCAGTGTGAAATAGCAGCTTGATGCCGCTGTGTTTCGTATAGTAAGTGTAGAGAAACGGAGGCCTTTTTTACTGGAAACGAGGCATTCTATTTTAGTCTTCACGGATGACAACGCATCTGCATTTTGGTTTTTGTTGGAGGATAGATGAAAAGGTATTTATGGGCTACTGCATCCATTAACTATCAGGTGGATTGTGTGCTCGTTTGTCACTCTTCTTCTGTAAAAACAAATGACAAATAAATGACAGCAGCTCAGAGGTAAAGAGTAAAGACCGCGGACAATCATAAAGTCAACTATTATCGTATCGTTCCTTTCGACTATTATCGTATCGTTAACCTCTCATAACATAACCATTTTAATTTTGAGTTTGTTTGGAGGGATTAATGGATATGTTAGTAATCATTGTTCATCATAGTCAATACAGTCAAATTTAAACTTGCATTAAGTTTGAAATTTGAATTCGTTACAGTCCATCAGAAGTCTTCTGCTTAACAAACGTTTAGGATGCTGCTGCCATCTCCTGATCTGTTTCCCTGTCGCCTCTTACGACACCCACGGGTCAATATGGGGTCTTACACCGCCACTTCAGGATTACTACCTTTCGTTATTTACTCATTAGGAATTACACTGACTTTACTTTATTTCAAGAACATGGACAGTTAAATTATAATATATTAAATCTTTATGAATGTTAAATTATAATATATGCTAAATAAAAAGAAGTCAGAAAGACAAAGTGGATAATAAGTAGTATTTCATCATCATTACAGCCTTTTCACAAGTCAACTGCTGAACTTAGGCCTCCCCCAAGGAATGCCACAAAGCACATTCCTGAGCCACTGCATCCATCGACTTCCTGCATGTCTTACCAGGTCGTTACTCCATCTGGTGAGAGGCCGTCCTACATTTCACCTACCGCTACGAGGCTGCAACTAGAGAACCTTTTTTCCTCAACGGTTGTCAGTGTGGCCAGACCATTATCACTTCAGCTTACTAATGCGTTGGGCTATGTTGGTCACACTGGTTCTACTGTGGATATCCTCATTTATAAGTTTATCATGTAGAGAAACCCCGAACATAGCCCTTTCCACAGCTTGCTGAGCGACCTTGAGCATTATCATGCGGCCAGCAGTGAAGAACCACGTCTCAGATCCATAAGTCTTAACTTGTAACAAGCACTGGTTATACAATCTCGTTTTCAAGTTTTCAGGTATACCTGACGAGAAGATGTATCGTAATTTCCCGAACGCTGCCCAGCCAAGTTGAATCCGTCGATTGATCTCTAGGTCGAAGTTGGACTTACCTGTATAGTCTAACCATTTGTCCCAGGTAAACCTACTCGTCAACAACTTCGAGCTTAGTGTTCCCAACAACTACGGCATAGATGTACATGGACGTTAAACATGATCTTTGTTTTGTCCATGTTCATCTTAAGTCAATCTCAAGTGGTACCGACCAAGACGGATTCCTAGGTAGAAAAGATGATTTATAGTATTTTATATATTATGCGCTTATTTTCTTATTTGATAATATAGCTATTTGGAATATTCTGTCTTTTGTGAACGCATATCGCGGTAAAACTCCAGATACCATTCACACCATCTGGATGCTTGGCGGTCCACCACTGTACGTTTCCCTAGGAGTTTTCTTCCGTGTACGACCTCACCCATGGGAGGCAATATTTAGGTTATTGAGCTTAGTGTTAAGGTCTTCCAGCGATTCATAAGGACTATATCTCTGCAGTTGGATAGGTTCCGTACTCTGGTTCTGTATTCGGATAGCTCTCGTAGCCTTACTGTACAAACACTTCAGCACTTCCATATACCGACAGTCAACTTGGCACCTTTAAAAGGATTATAGCACCGCCCAAATTTTTCGGTCTTCTATACAATTTTCCGAGGGGTATATATGTGGTCTATGGTACGAGAGTCTTTTCGGAAATCAGCTTATTCGGGAGGCTGGAAGAAGAGAGCGTTGTCGCCCTTTTTAAATGACACGACCACCGCACTTCTGCTCCATGCATCCGGACTAGTCCCACTATGGAGGACGGCATAAAAGAGCTTCTGAAGGACTTCAAGTACCGGTTTTCAACCCGCTTCATTGTAATTCCATCCTCGCCTGGGGCAGTATTAAGGTGCTGGAGAGTCATTCTTATCCCACTCAGACTGACATCCGGGATATCATCGGAATAGTGTTCGATAAGACTTGGTCTTGGGTTATTTTTCACACTTGCGTGTAGCTTAAACGATGACGTGTACAGCTGTCCGTAGAACCTCTCAATCCACTCAAAATCTCAGGTGTCCCAGAAACGATGCTGCCACACTCAGTATTCAGCTTCGACAGTTGGCTCTTTCTGCCATACAGATCTCTGGCAAAGATTTTGGACCCCTGGTTCCACTCGATTGCTTCTTCAATACGAGCTGTATTGAAGCTGCGTAAGTCCCGCCGTATATGCATACGACAGTCTGCAGCAGCAGCAGGCGATCTGTCTGTTGCCTGTATGCTGTCAAATCTGCTAAAGACTGCAGATTCATTTCTCGTCTACCAGCCATGCGATCAAAAGTGTGATCCGTGAAATTTTGTGTTCTTCTGCAATGGGTCTTGCAGAACTTAGCTCCGACCGCATGGACAGTTTCCACGAACTTGTTATTCAAATTGTCCACTGCATTGTAGGCTTCTAGGTACAGATAACGATTTTATGACTCAAGCTAAAAGTTTCCGAATACAGTCCATTAGCTCTCTCTAAACACTTCAATTCCTTGATCCATCGTCGCCGGATTACCACCAGAAGATCATTGGAAAAGATTATTATAGACCATCGAGAGAAGTTCGTCGGTCAAGAAAGAAAATCGTCGGTCCAGAAAGAAAATCGTCGGTCAAGAGAGAAGATCGAAAACTCAAATTAATCCCTGTTTCTGAGCATAGTTAAAATGCACAAACTGGCAGAGAGGTACAGCGTTGGAGTGAAATTCCTGGTGCTGCAATCTTCAAAAGTTGCAAGCGAGGTGATTAGGGCAAATCATCCCTTTAATGTAAGAGTCCCGTGCCGTACAGTGGATAGTAATGGTTAAACCACACGATATTATAAATTTATAAAAAAGTAACAAAAATATTGCAAAAAGCCCTCTCAAAAACTATCGTACAATTTAATCTTACTTCGTTAAAAGAACGTAGATCTCGTGTAACTCCCATATAATTGCTTCAGCTTGTTTATGATCTACATCTAAACTGTTGGTACTAAATATTTGCTTGCACCGTTCCCTGAGTAAGTCCATTTTGCCACCGATGAATACCATAATTACTATTACGGTGGTATCGTATGCCGCCACAACACCACCCCCGTAAATGCACATCATGGTGTGGTATATAATTGTTATCCAGGAACCCGGTGGATTGTACTTATCATATGGTACCCATGAACTAAAGATGTGAGGAAACAATTCTGTGCCATTGTGTAAGGCTTTTCGATAGTTTGATGAAGATATATACCTCAGTAAGGGAGTACTTATCACTCCCACGGTGGTCATGCATATCAAAATCAAATAAAAGTTTACCACTCGACGGCAATACTTCGTATATGAATCGACAATTCTAGATTTGACTGGATCTTTGCTATTTCTTTCATACATATCAGCTTTGCAAACGTACTCCATGAGTTCCCTCCATTGTCTCTCCCAAAATATGAAGGTATTTCCCTTTAAAACGCATACTATACTCATCATTGATATCTTCAAGTTGGTTAACAACAGATCTAAGTTCGACTTAATCACAAACAGTTCCATATATTGGGTAAACACGAAAAAAGAGACAAATGCGTGTAAAAAAATATATAAGGCTTTTCCTAATTTATTTTCTGGTAGAATTAGCCCCATTTTCCTTAAAATCCAGTAATTAGGACCAATAAGTGGCCTGTTCGGATCGTCTAAGCTTTTCAGAAACTTTTTAATCATTATTCAAGTGCTATGATTTGTAACTATGATATGCTGTGACTACGGAAAATTAAAAATATTGTTGAGAATTATGCGACGTGTCGTATATATAGGTCCGATTAGCCCAGTGGTTAAAACAGTTGACACATTTAAATTTTTAATGTCTTAAGTGATTTTCCCGGAAGTTCAATACTGTCGATTAATGTTTTGGTAAAAAAATTGTTATTGATTTTTATTTCTTTCAAAAAGATAAATTAAGACTCTTTCACCTAACAATTTTATGTCGTGTTTTGGACAGTTAAGAAACTTCTTGCTGTTTTTGAAGGTTGTTTTTTTAGAAAACTATTTTAAATATATTGAGCTCTCTGGTTTAGCTTATTACTTTATTAATAGCCTAAGCTGATATTAGTCACACGTATCCATGGGCTGCGGTAGCTACTTATCATCAGGTGGACTGTGAGTTCGTTTGTTACTTCCACTTTACAAAAAAAATCATTAATTAAATTAAAGCTAGGCTTTCAAAAAATAACTAAAGATAAAATACATTAGGGAGAGGAAGGAGATATGAGATGTTACAAGACAACTTAAAAAAACTTGGATACGTATACTAAAATAAGTTGGGAAAACTACGAGGATATATTATGCGAAAGGCTTGGATATAAATAAATTGAAAGGCACGTATGGCAATTCACAATGCCGTGTTGGTCCCTACTTTCACGTATTGTAGTGAAAGTTGGGTGTGGCAGAGAAGCACGAGAGTAGAATCAACGCAGTAGAAATGCGGTCCTTAAGGAGTATGCTAGGGCTGAATCTGAACGACACGGTAAGAAATTGTGTAATAAGAGAAGAGTGTGGTTTGCAAGATGATGTATGTGACCAGGATTAAGAAAGGAATGCTTCGGTGGTTTTGTCATGTGGAAAGAATGAATGAGGAAAGAGTGACAAAGAAAATTTATGTTGCAGAAGTGAATGGAAGAGTCGGAAAGGGACGTCCTAGGCGAAAATTTATCGACCAAATTGGCGATTTATTGAAAACGGGCCAAATTAGGAGTACCCTTAACCGACGAGCATGTATGCGTAGGTGTATGGATGTGAAGGAGGCGAGAGAGGTGTGTCAGGATCGTGCCAAATGGAAGTCTGTAGTCTCTGCCTACCCCTCTGGGTGACAGGCGTGAGTGTTTATGTATGTATTATGTATAAATAAATTGTGAAAATATATTAAAAATAGTTGTCGATAAAACGAGTGACAACACTAATAAAGTGGTTTCAGTGTAAAAGCATTGCATTCTATTTGAAACTGATAATTTGAATGTCTCTATTAAAGCCGTTAAATGTGAGCGTGTCGAGCAAGGGAAGCTCCCCGATATAAAAACATAATGAAGCTGTCAATCAGCAGTGTTATCGGCGCTAAATGACATGTAATTACGTTTCAGGTGTTATGTTATTAGCACAGGATGTCGAACTACAATATTTTTAGATTGATATGCAACGCCTTTTAGCGTCGCAACTTGGGAATATATTTTTATAGAATAAGGATGAAAAACGTGCAAACAGTCCAACTGGTGGTAAGCGGATGCTGTCACCCATAGACATTTACAACTATCCTCGATTAAAAACCAAAATGCAGATGTGTTGTCACCTTTGAGGACTAATATGCAATGCCTCATTTCCAGTAAATAGGCTCTTCGTTTTCGATATGGTGAGTGTCTATACACTATATGCTTGTATTCTGTGAGAGCGTGGTTTTACCCCGGTTGCATCACCCCATTCGGGATACAACCACAATATAGCATAAGCATAGCTCCACTACGTGTAAAATAGTCACATTTTATTACTTCCATAGGACTAAATGGGGAGATCGATATTCTTACGCTGCCAGCACATAATTCTGAAACAAAATTAATTTTCATGATCTTCCGATCTTTTGATATTTGTTTTAACCTACTACAAAATATAAATTCTTCGAAAACAAAAGAAACTAAGTAAACCAATTAACCAATTAACCGCAAGTTTACCATTCAACCGAATTTGTTTTTTTCCCCATTCGTTACAATCCATCAAAAATCCACTACCTAAGTTTGTAGGTCATCTTCATAAATTGCTTTATAAGGACATACTCGTATTTGCCATAGATGCTATTCTTGACAGATGGGTGTTAGCTGCAGTTTTTTAATATTATTTTTGTATTGTTATCAAGAAGATCTTGCTGCCTACCTCCTGTTTTAGTTTCCTTCTGTCGCCTGTCACAATGAGAGCATCCATGACTTTTTCTGCCACCAGTAAGGCTCCACTTAAAACTGAGATGTAACATGTGTCAGTTTTATAGCGGTGAAGTTAATTTGTACCCGAATAATGTAAAGGTTTCAGTAGTAATGTACAGGTATTCAGAAAGGTAGAAAAATTGAAATACGATTTAAAAATATACCAAAAATTATAGAGCAAACCACAGGCCTTGTTTTGTGTATTAATTTGAGGTACCTGCGGCAAATAAGAGCCACCTTAATTCAAAACTCAATATTTTAAATATATAAACGATATGAATAAAAAAATTCAGATAAATATTTTCCAAAAGACTCCAGATAAATATTTTCTTTATTAAAAGTTCGAATAAGTAGAATTTTTTTGGTTTCTTACATAACTTAACTTTACAAATAAGTCTTTTTAAAACCTTCTTTGTGTCCCTTCTTTGTGTCCTAAAAAAAGGACCTTAAGTTTTGTCAGTAGGAACAAAACGTGTTCTTTTTTATGTTAATATAATTTTGATTTTCTAACAAATCACACTTTCAATAAGAATTACAACATGTAATCTAAATTGAATAAAATTATTCTATTCTATTATGTTATGTTATGTTATGTTCTGCTCTGTTCTGTTCTATTCTATTCTATTCTATTCTATTCCATTCCATTCTATTCCATTCTATTCCATTCCATTCCATTCTATTCCATTCTATTCCATTCCATTCCATTCCATTCCATTCCATTCCATTCCATTCCATTCCATTCCATTCCATTCCATTCCATTCCATTCCATTCCATTCCATTCCATTCCATTCCATTCCATTCCATTCCATTCCATTCCATTCCATTCTACTCCGTTCTACTCCATTCTATTCCATTCTACTCCATTCTACTCCATTCTATTCCATTCCACTCCATTCCATTCCAGTTCTACTCCATTCTACTCCATTCCACTCCATTCCACTCCATTCCACTTCCATTCTACTCCATTCCACTCCGTTCTACTCCATTCTATTCCATTCCATTCCATTCTACTCCGTTCTCTCGTTCCACTCCGTTCCACTCCATTCCATTCCATTCTACTCCATTCCACTCCATTCTACCTTCCGTTCTATTCCGTTCTACTCCGTTCTACTCCATTCTACTCCATTCTACTCCGTTCTACTCCATTCTACTCCGCTTCCACTCCATTCTACTCCATTCTACTCCATTCTACTCCATTCCTATCCGTTCTACTCCGTTCTACTCCGTTCTACTCCGTTCCACTCCATTCTACTCCATTCTACTCCATTCTACTCCGTTCTACTCCGTTCTACTCCGTTCTACTCCGTTCTACTCCGTTCTACTCCGTTCTACTCCATTCTACTCCATTCTACTCCATTCTACTCCGTTCTACTCCGCTTCTACTCCGTTCTACTCCATTCTACTCCGTTCTACCCGTTCTACTCCATTCTACTCCGTTCTACTCCGTTCTACTCCGTTCTACTCCGTTCTACTCCGTTCTACTCCATTCTACTCCGTTCTACTCCGTTCTACTCCATTCTACTCCATTCTACTCCGTTCTACTCCGTCCTTCTACTCCGTTCTACTCCGTTCTACTCCGTTCTACTCCGTTCTACTCCGTTCTACTCCGTTCTACTCCGTTCTACTCCGTTCTACTCCGTTCTACTCCGTTCTACTCCGTTCTACTCCGTTCTACTCTCCGTTCTACTCCATTCTACTCCGTTCTACTCCATTCTACTCCATTCTACTCCATTCTACTCCGTTCTACTCCATTCTACTCCATTCTACTCCATTCTACTCCGTTCTACTCCGTTCTACTCCGTTCTACTCCGTTCTACTCCGTTCTACTCCGTTCTACTACATTCTATTCCATTCTATTCCATTCTATTCTATTCTATTCTATTCTATTCTATTCTATTCTATTCTATTCTATTCTATTATATTCTATTATATTTTATGTAGCAAAGATGATGAACATGGATTATGGACCTAAAAAGGCCTTGTCGCAATCTTAACTATTTATATCAGGACTTTGCACTGCATGTCGTAAATTAATACCACTAGAATCAGGAGTTGGCGAGTTTTGTAACTACCGATAAATTTCT